GTGACTTAGTGGTTTTCGGCATGTGACCTTTGGGGCTTCCCCTTATCATGGGATAATTACAGCTGGCTTTGTCTTTCACTTCTCATCTCTCTGATATCATGGAAGCTTTCTAAATGTCAGATGTGCGGGCGCGTGAGGGCAGGTTCACTCGGACTTGCCTTCAGTCCTTTGAACAGTTTCCTCTTTCACGTGCTGGACTTCACTGAAGAATTCGGTTTTTCCATTTTTGTCATTTGGATTTTCAGTTTTGCAAATCATGTATGAAAAAACAATCCATACCTTGGTTACAACTGGTTAGGTTCAGGTGATAAAGGCAGGGTTTTGTTTTGAGTTTTGAATTCCTCTTTGGAATTCATTATTATTCATATTAGGTTTCCTTGTCCTTGTGAGGTGGTGTTTTATTTCTTGAACTTGAGCTCTCACACTGCAGGCCTACTTGTTGTTCCTAGAGTATTTAGAAGTAGAATGGGAGGCAGAGCCTTCAGTTTTCAGGCCCCTCTTCTATGGAACCAGCTTCCAGTTTGGATTCAGGAGACAGACACTATCTCTACTTTCAAGATTAGGCTTCAAACTTTCCTTTTTGCTAAAGCATTAAGTGTAGTTTGCTGGGGGATTCCCATGATGCCCTGGTGTTTCTTCTTCGCTCGCCTTTTTCACTCACTATGTGTTTATGCACGATCTGATATCAGATCGTCCATGTGTTTATACACCCGTCCTCCTCCCTTCACCCCAACTGCTCGGGGTGGATGGCCGCCCCTCCCTGAGCCTGGTTCTGCTGGAGGCTTCTTTCCGTTAAAAGGGAGTTTTACAGTATAAATTGCTCTGAGATGACTGTTGTTGTGATTTGGCACTATATAAATAAAACTGAATTGAAGTCCTGAGTTTTGCTTCCTGTTTGGATTCCTTTATTGTAGTGTCAGTGTCAGGCTGTGCTCCTCTGTCTTGCTTGTGGTTTGTCTGCGACTTCTTGTTAATCCTCGATCTGATAATCTTTTGTTCTAATTTTTTTTACGGTTAGTCTCTTTTGATGTCGAGGTCTTGTTTCCTTTTTCTCGTCCTTTGTGTTTGTTCGTTCAGCCCTTATGTGAATGTGTGTGTGAATGGGTGGATGACTGGATGTATAAAGCGCTTTGGGGTCCTTAGGGACTAGTAAAGCGCTATATAAATACAGGCCATTTACCATTTATTGTTGTATTCTTCTGTGGTTCAGCCGAGTTACCGAACTAGACTATGTTCATTGTGCATCTTCTACATGAGCCAACTAAAGGTCTCGCCTTTTCTTTTACGTTTAGGTCGACAGAACTCGGTTAGCTTTAGTGAATAAGATCTGTGCGGTTTGGTTTAGCCTGTATGAGCCAAAAGCCCGGATTTGTGAAGTCATTTCCTGTTTCAGTTTTTTATCTCTATTTCCACTCAGGCTTCGGTTAATTATAATTCCTACTTTTGTTTCCTTTCCTGCCCTGTTGGTGCCACATCTGTGTTCAGTTAGTGCTCGAAAACACTGGCTGAAAGCTTGACATCATCTTCCTCAAAAAGCTGGGCGTGACCAAAGAAAAACTGAAGCGTAGCTGGACAGATGTTTTCCACGTAGATCAGAGGCCTGATCAGATCATCGCCTGTCGGAACGTCTAACACGGACTTCCAGACAGCGTCTTGATGTCGTCTCAACATTACTTTACATTAGAGTTATTTTTCACCAGCTGATGGCGATTCAGCTTCTAAATGTTTGTCTTGTATAGTATACGAGATACATATACATATATAGTATAGATACATCCTGCTCCTTACCCATTTTGGCAACTTGAAACATTCCAGCCATATTTTTGTTTTTGGGGTATTTTTTCTTGCGTTGCTGTTCTTGGTTGTCACATTTTCATGTCTTTTCTAAAGGCGCTAACAACTTATGTGCTGCAGACACAAACTGTACCTCCTATGGTGCATTATCTGTCACAAAACAGCAACAATGTGCATCATTGAAGAAGACTATTTCACAGTTTGCCTTGAGACGAGGCTGATCACACACGCACCTCGGGTTGCCATTAATTTCCCCAAATTGCCTTCTTCTGATGATGTCAGCACAGAACAACTAGAAGTCCAGTTGTAAAACTGACAGATTTTAGGACTGTGCGGTCAGCTAATCTAATATCTGATAACTGATAAAGGAAAAATAATCTCTAGTCTGTGTCCCACATGAGCCCTAACCCAAAAAAGAAATGCTAAAACTCCAAGAAGGATGCTTTGGGGTCTTTTACACGGAGACCTATATCATTGTGTGTGGCTGTGTTAACAGAAGCTTGTTGTGTATTCTCAGCTGCTTGTGGTCCTGCTGAGCAGGACTTTACCTGCTTTATCTTGTTTATGCAGCTGCTGATCTGATCTGACTGTGAGGTGAGTAAAACCCCAAACCGACAGTTTACCCACAGTCTTAGATAGTTGGATAAAGATATGACTCACACTTTGTAAATGGTTCAATTTTCAAAGACTTATGGGGGATTCATTCACCCATCCATCAATCCTGAGCTGACCCAACGTCACCAACAGGAAAATCCCACTTCCTGTTTTAGTTAACCCAAACAATGCATCTTTAACAGCGTCTATATTAAAAATTTTCCTCCGTGTCTGCACCTAATATATCCTGATCAAATTTGCATAAATATGAGCAAACAAAGGCAGACAGCTTTCACACATGGCCGGGTTTTCCCGGTTCAGCCTGTCTGTAAATGTGTGTGTGTGTGTGTGTGTGTGTGTGTGTGTGTGTGTGTGTGTGTGTGTGTGTGTGTGTGTGTGTTATCTTTTCTAATCTGGAAATGTGTCTTTCTTTTGTTTCGTCTTTAATTTTGTTCAGTGGGTTAGAACATTTCAAAAACACAAGGAAATCCCCACAACTGATTTCAAACATAAACAACATCAGGGTAATTTCCAAGAATGAGACTCACACACTCTGATAATCTTGATGTTTTTATTAATATGAAACCTGTTTTATGTCTCATTAACATTCACATCATTTTTTTTAGCATTTTTAGCTCTATGTGTGCTTCACTTATTGACATGTGGCAAGTTTTTCCATTTCACTGCAGTCTGCAACAGAGAAGCCTTTAAAACAGTTACGCAAGATATAAAATAAAAATAAAATAGAAAATAAATGTTTTTTTTACATTTTAATTTTATCCGGGTTAAAATAATCTAACTAACCATGTGTGCGAAACACAACAAAAACATTTTCAGTTTCTCAGTAGTGTGAAGTACATGAGGCCTGAAGTTTACTTTCACACTCTGACGAGGAATTTTAGATTTAAATTCATAAAGTATCATAAAAAATCACTTCACGACACGCAAACACACATGAAGCTCAGGCTCTGTTACACACAAAGCTCGTCCCCGACACTGCAAACCGGAAGAAAAGTGAAAACGTGTAACGCAACAGGTCATAAAACAACCTCGACACGAAAGGACAACAAGAAAACGGTTAGAAATCCCGGAACCGGTTTCCAAGGATGAAATAGTGAACTCATCTATGCTTTAAGCCTCGAGAGACCCGTGGAAAGAAAGTGAAAGGGGAGGGAGGAAGTTTAGCGGAAGATGTCGTCACTCAGAGATTTCCATGAAGCAGCAGAAAGCCCCTGCTGGCAGCGACGCCCCCTTACTGGAAACAAGCAAAGCTCAACGCTGAATGAATGCGTCTGAATTTCTTTCAAATATGGTTTTGAAAAAGTTTGGAGCACCGGGAAGTGTAAAACACAAATCAGACCTATTGAGTCCCTCAGACCTCAGCACACTGTGTCAGATAAGATGACTCCCTGTGGGTCTCTGTGGTTATACAATGGCTCATTATCAGCTTCTTATCTTGGAATTAATGACGATGAACGACAGCAGCTGTTGATTGAAACCCTCTTTTTGATTGATTCGGCGCACAAGGATTAATCTAGATTGTCTAAATCTCTCGGTGATACCACAGAGATGATAATTACCCCAAATGTTTTGCAGATTTACATTAGGAAGCCATTTTAAATCTCTCAGGGCGGCAACCCTCCGCATCTTTCTTGCAGAGACACTTAGCAGATGTAGCAGATAAATGGAACAAAAGTGGATAAAAACAACAGGATGTGTGTATTTGTCCCCGCGGAGAAACTAAAAACCCCATTTGCTTCTTGAATTTTGAAAATGGACACCATTCAGCTGTGTCCTCTTCAGCGTCTTTGCTCCAGAGTTTCAACCATTTGGTCACTTTTGTGATTTCTGTCTTTGTGACTTTGGGGACGTCAACTTGTGTCATTGTTAACCACAACATAAAACATAAAACACTATAACTGCAATGACGCCGTTATACACTAGTTATCACTAGCTCCATGATTTATAGATGCCCAGCTGATAAATATGAGCCTTTGTCAGCATTCATTGTACCACATGCAGATAGAGTAATCAAACCACCGATTTATCTACGACCCACTTTAGCCACAGACACCCTTTACACAGCTATCTTCAGTAAGGAAAGATCAAACACGAATAGGAATACACTTTTTCAGTATTTAAACATGAAAGACAAAAGCTGCGCTTACAAATCCTTTAGAATTATTCATTTAAAAAAATAAGTAATATTCATTCATTCAGCGCTTATTTTATTTTCCAGTCCCTGTTGTGTTTCTTTAAAAAATGAATATTTATAAATATGTGTAAAAGTAATACACAAAAAAGAACTAAAAGAAAGAAAACAAAGTGAATATTATGTTTTTTACTTATTTATAATTATTTGATTCATTACGTTTTATTATCACTGTTAATATATTTTTGTTTTTCTCGTTTTAAATATATTTGTACTGAGTTTTACATTCATGCATTCACTTAAAAATGGCGTTTTAAAAAAAATAACTGAGGTAAACAATAAAAGAAAAGGTGAAATGGGCGGAGCCAGCGGACAAGCCTAGCCTGTGGAATGTGCTGATTTCCACACGTCATACGTACGCTGGCCGATGATTGGTTTACAGACTCAAGTAAAAAAGACCAGACAAGCCGGCGGCTATTCAGTAAGCGCAGCAGCAGCGAACGAAAGAAACTTTACGGGAGAAACGGTGACGGTACCGAGAGGCGGACGGCTGTACTGTGTGTTATTTGCTGGACTATACTGGAACACAGCGGCGGGACACTGAAGACGCTCAGCTCGCTGTTTTTTTTAAAGCTACAAATCCCCGTTAAGCTAACGTTTAGGGCGACATTCCCGCTTGTTTTTGTGAACTACCTGGAAGAACAGCCATGCTCACCCTGTGCCTCGTGTTGATGTTATCCACTGCCTCCGTCTTCTCAGAGTCGGTAAGTAGTTTCTCCAGCGAGCAGCTCAAATTCAAACACTCGTGTATCTCTGTTTCGGGAGCGCTACCTTGCTGAGGTTAGCCCTGTGTTTGTGTGCTGTTAGCGGGAGCCGGAAGGCTGTGATTTACCTGTCCTATCCCTCTGTTTAAGTACGGAAATGAGAGTTGTTAGCCACTTAGCTTCTCCTGGGATATGGCAGCTATTATCCCGAATGGGGGGGTCGTCACTTTTCCAGGATGAATCCCAGAGACACTTCCCAAAGAGGATCAATCCTGTTTGATCAAAGAGACAGTTTCCCGCCCCCGATAATAATACAGATGCACGCCAGACTCTCTTGTGTCTTTGAACACTTCTCCAGGTTGTTGCCAGTGTGAGCTAATGGGGAAATCTGAGTGCAGACTCCTTTTGGAGCCACTGAGACTTAAATGGTGAATCCATGTGTTGTTGTTAGAACAGAATTTGACTTTAATTAGTAGGCTTTGTGTGTTATGAGGAGGCTCGCTGAGCTGGAAGGCACCAAATCCCAGTTTGAGTGAGATCCATGTTACGCCCCTTCCATTCTGATGCTTTCCCATTAACTGTCTATGAATTAGCTGACCAGGGGAGCTGGATGTGTTGCAAGCATGATTAGGTAAGCCCTGCAGCGTAGGTAGATCCATATTTGCTGATGATTCATGTCTACACGTGTTGCAAACGGGATGTATTTGGATTTAGTTGGGCGATAAAATAATTTTTAAAGTTCCAGAGACACTGTATTGAAAGTTTTCCTTTCTTGATAGTTAGATTGTTCTAGGCATAAATGTGAGGAGACATTATGCAAAAAAGACAAGTCTTTAATTGTTTTGCCCAAACATGCGTTACATTGCTTCTGTTTTGTTGCTCTGATTAATCATTTTTAGTGTGATTAACATCAACATTGAATGCTTGATGCCACCCACATACAAAAACATGCACCCTGCCCCCCTCCACTCAGGCCAGTTGGTCCATACGAATGGTGAGAATGAGCAAAAAGCAGTAAGAGCTGGTTTAACTGCATGTCTGACATACGGCAGGATTTGTTAAAGGATGCTAATCTCAGAGCAGATTGTTGTCTGTACAATCACGCTTTAGTTTGTGCAACACGTCACAACCATTTGTAGACACATTTGTAGGCTGGAGCGGTTCTCTGTTTAAGCAGCATAACGGTTATATTCGGGGTTCTGGCTATTCCACCGTTCCACATTTTGGTGTGAGAAGGGGTTGGAACAAAACATGGCGGCCTGATTGGGCCTTACAGTCTGTTACATTCCTCAAAGTATCTCCTCCTCCTCCTCTTCTTTCTTTTGGTCCCCCCTCTGGTATGTGACCTTTGGTGACCTTGACCGGCCCTCTCTGGGATTTTGCACACTTGATGGGGTCTCAATGGGGCCTCGGGGTGACACTCCACTTCTTTAACACAGCTAGCCTAGTGTGGTTACACCTACAGCTTTCCCACCAAAACATTCCCCCTTTCCTTCCTTAAACGAGCTCCAGATATTGACCCCTTTCTCTCCCGCGTGTCCTTTCCTTTAATGCATACTTGGCCTCTGAGCTATCACAATACTTGCCTCCTTGTGGCCTTTCCTCTCTGCCCACGAGGTCATTATTGGTATGTGGGTTTGGCATTCCCTGCTAATCGATAACAATGTTCTTTTACCTGACAATAGAACATGCTCTGAATGCAGAAAAAGGGTTTTTTGAGAGCCACAGGCACGATTGGAATGTTTTTATCACGGGATTGAGTCGGATTTCATATCAACTTGGATGCCAGCAGGAACTTGGTGCCATTTCGCTTTGGTCAGCTTGTCTGTTTTTATCAGTTTGTTCAAGATAGCGTGGCATGCCAAACAAACCCTGTTCTCTGTTCTTTTTATTTTCCATTGACCTCAGCGTTTTCTGCCCATGTATGGTCCTTCGCTGCCCAGCCAAGGGTGAAGGTGAAAAAGATAGGAAAGACCAGCCCAGTGTAATGTTTGTGCTAATGTGCAGGGCGTTTTTCTGAAATGTCAAAAATGTTGAGAGAACTCCAAACACATGCCTTCAATTATGATATAAGACAGAATAAAACAACATCTTGTTTAACAGGCTGAAAGATGAGCTTGTTTGGCCTTTAATAAGGGTATCGTTCATCTTTATGGAAGTAGAAGTCCAGTTTTTATGATTTAATTTAACACATGTCCTTGAAGTTGAAATTGTGGTGGTTAATCGGGGTAAGAAAAGTCTTCTTTGCCCCAGAGTTAATCCATGTTGCCCCATCAGACCCTTAGCTTGTTGCCTCTGGAGCCCATTTGTTAGAACTTGTTGGAATGTGACTGGTTTTGCAGCCCCCCCGATCATTTGCACCAGAATGAAGCAGGTTTTTAAGGCTAGTTTTTTGTCTCCTTTGCATGATGGGGTGCAGGGTGGTGCTTGATAAATACTATGACTAGGATGTAATAATGGTTCCTGCTTTGCTGCCCGCTGGTCTATAAAATCCCTTTGGGCCCAGGAATGTTGGCACACAGAGAGAGGAGGTTTTTGTCCTTCCTGCCCACGACGGAGTGCAGTCGAATCCGATCCCCCGGACTCCCTCCACCCTTTTCCAACCACTGCATACTCTGGCAGCTGTAACGGGAACTATATGAATGCATTCAGGGCAGAAGTCGACCATAAAAACCCTCCAATTCTGGTTATATCACTTTCAGCTGACTTTTTTTTTTTTTTTAAGACAGAGACAGGCAGTTTAAAGATGCTGAGCAGTCTCTGATTATAAGCCTCTGCTGTGTGCTGTTACTCTCAACAGGGGCTCTTGCAGATTTTAAGCACAAAAAAAAGTTATATTTTATATACATAGTTAAGTAAAGCGAAAAGCTGGTTATGCTCCAGAAACACTTGTTGCACATATAAAATCTGCTTGACCAAGCTATTTCAGCTTATGGCTTTCACCAGTGTCATCATAAAACATGTTGCAGACAACATTTTAACTGCTCCAGACTTTATGCAACCTCCAAAGTATTTAAAGTTGTGCAGGAAAACAGTTTATCTGCCTTTAAACTCATGCATCTGGTCAGCGTTACAGTAAAATCCATTAATTTGTGTTTAATACTTCAAAAATCTTACATTGTAACGACTGGAGAAGTTTAGACATTGCTTTCGGGCCTGGAAGTTGTGTTTTTATTATTTTTAATTAAATGACAGCAAACCCCTGCTGCTCCTTCATCGTCTATGACTAAAATTGGCAGGGCTTGTTTTATTCTGGGGATTTTCTTGCAAACTGGATGGGGAAGGACTCTTATTACCAGCTGTAGTCCGTGATGGTGGAGCTGGGAGACCTTTAGCGCTACATGAGCACCAGCAAACGAAACGTCACTCGCGAGGTCCTACTGGAACGAGAGCGGGGAAAGGCTGGAGCTAGCTGGTTGTATGCTGATCATGTTGTTGTCCTGAGGGAGTTTATGCGGTGCATGCGTGGACAGCGCTCCAGTTTGGGGTTTTTTGTTATTTTTATATATATATTTTTTTTATGTCAGGGGAATGTGAGCCTCGCTGTGATTCCTCTGGGAACGGCGAGCCTCGGAGGGAGGCCTTTTAATGTCAGCCTGTGCCGTCTCAGTCTCCTCGTTCTTTTGCACGTTTGTTTCAGGATTGAAGCCAGACTCTTTCCAGCTATCAGCTCCCGTCCACAGCACATGTATTGGGCATGAGAAATGATAATCAAAGCACACCATCCGCAGGCAGGAAGGCAGACATCCAAATGATATCGACCCAATATTTCTAATGTATCTGCAATGGGTTTTTTTGTTTTTTGTTTTTTTTTGGTGATTATTAATGTGCGGCTGCTTCTGCCCGTTGTTTTCACTATTGATCAGCCTGTTAGTTGTTAGAAGATGGTCAGATGGCTGAAGTCTGAGGTGACGCCATCAAAATCAAACATAGTGGGCTAGAAATGGCGTGCGATGATAATGTCAAACAACAAAGATTTCTTGAACTGTGTGCATAACCATTACCCTGAAGTGTAGCAACCATCATCCTTTCACCAAACTTTGAATTGGCCCTTTATTCACAGACGTGAGGATTATGGGGATTTTTGCTGATTCTCTTTTGATAAATAATTTCCCCCAGGGATCAATAAAGTATTCTGATTCTGATAACGGCTCATTGTGTTTGTCGGCTTCTGGAAATTTACTTCTTACAAACGAAACCCAGTTGATACTCCACAAACGGCACCCACCCACTGAGCAGAGCTCGCAGGCTGCTTTTGGGTGGCGTGAGGGTTTTCCCTTATTCGAATGCATTTCAGCAGTACAGCACCTTTTTGATGTGGTGTGTGTGAGGTCTACCTCGCGACTGTAGACCGCAACCGTCACATTAACCTTTAACTACCTGCACAGGATGCTACATTCATTTCTAATCCACTGAGTTAATCAATGATTAACTTTGGAAGTTTTGGATGTTTGAATGAGTCTCTGGACTTCTAGTGAACCCACAGACCACAAAAGACCTTTGACTGTGGGTTTTAGGAAAGAAACTCAACTTCACATGCTGTGAACTGAAAACACTACAACTCTCTTGTAGAAATGAAGAGTAAAATTAAACTCCCACTGTGTACGCTTCCTCTTTCAGTCACCCTCAAGCATTATAACCAACTGCCTTCATACACACCTGCATGTTTCTGCTTTGATTAAACTGTGCTTCTGACATCTGCTCGATTTAATGTTTGGAAATGGACGAGTTGGCACGATCTCTGTAAAAGAAAAGGTGTTACCCTCCGCATAATTAAAAACGTCTTTGTGAAACCTAAAATGTTGCCTCTTTTGTCAAGAAGCAAGCGTAAAGTAAACTCCTGAAATCACCAGAGCACTAAGCTTCACTTTGACTCAGTTACTATTGTCCTTCAATGAATAAAGACAAATATTAGTGAAATGAGTCAAATCTTAAAATCCAGTGTGATAAAGAGCCTGTTTTCTGTGAGACTTCTTAGATAAGACGGTGGCTGTACAATC